AGCCGTGCGGATGGAGGGGTCAGAAACGAGAGGCTCGGACGGGAGCGGTCGGGGGGCGGGGAGGTTGGGTGCCGTTGGGAAGGAACCGAGTCGGGAAGAGGCGTGGGAGCGAGGGGCACGGAGGACGCGGGCCCGGACTGCGGGGGCAGCTCGCGGGAGACCGATGGGCGGCTTGGAAGCCTGCAGGATTGCGGATGAGGATTGAGTTCGGAATGGAGTGGAGAATGATGTGGGATGGAGGAAAGTGAAGGAAGGGGAGGGGGAACAGAGGAAAATGTGGGAGGAGTGGTTGGGAATTTGTGAGTAGCAGGCAGGAAGGGATGAGGAAGGCTGGGTAGGGGCTGCAGAGGATTGGAATGAGCGGGAAGGTTAGGAGGAATCAGAGGGAAGTCGACCGAGGGCTGAAGGGTTCGGAAGGAGTGTTCATTAAAGGGAACTGGTGACTTGACATGTCCCTTCGCTCCTGTTCCTGATGTCTCCCGTGTTTTTGGCGTCGTGTGGGAAAATGAAAGCATCAGTGGCCCTGGTTGCTAGCTTGACCTTTTTTCATAGGCCCAAACACGCAGCCAACTGCCACCCTTCCCTTTTAGGGCTGTGGTCTTGATTCATCCTTTTAAAGGGGTTGAGAGTGACAGTGTGACACACAAACTGTTCTTCAAAATGAAATGCTAGAAGTTATCCTCACAAGACAACACTGTCCCCTTGTCCTGCAGTTTTCAGTTCAAGGTAAATCCATAGTTCAGATTTTTTCTTCACTGGCTTTCTGTCTTGCAAATCCGCAAAGCCAGGATGTTGGTTGTGCCGGTGTTATAAATGACTGGATATCCTTGAGAGTTAATGCAGCATCATGTTCCAATTCCCACAAAGATCTGTCTTCCACACGATGGTAGTTTAGGCATGGAAAATTCTAACCTTGTATTAGCGAATGGGTACAAATCAGGGAGTGGGGGTGGTGAGTGCACGGCTTTCTTTAAACACCAGGCTTAAGCCAGGGGTTTTCATTTGAGCGCTTTATAAGTTCATGATCCTGGTGATCACAAAGACACATGGATCCATGAAATCCATAGTATTTGAGAAACTACAGTATCTTGTAAAAGGAGAAACAGGGCAGGTTATTTTATTCAGGTTTATCATAACACAGCAGCAAGCCTTCCTTCTTCCAACCCAGCTACAGATGGTAGCCCTGACCATCTTACTGGAGATTGTGATTCCTTGACCTTTCGCAGAAGGTTGGGTTCCAGTCAAGTGAAGACGCTTTCTCCTGTGAGATGCAGCTTATTACTTTGGACTCATTTAAGAAGACACATATTACCTAAACTTTGCAAATAGATTATTCCAGAAAATTTTGCCTGGGCAGTCCTTCTTGCTGGTCTCACATATGCTTTTTTTTTTTTTTTTTTTTAATTTTATTTGTTTGTTTTGGTGGTTATAGGAATCCTTATAGTCCTGAAAAAAACTTAGATCTAGTACTAAAATACATATATGCTGGTAGACCTCTTTATTAGGTGCTAGCCTGATGTCTTCTATGCTCTGGATCTTAACTATTTCGTATACCATTGGGAAATCTTCAGCTAGAAACCCTTGAGAAGGCCGGGCGCGGTGGCTCAAGCCTGTAATCCCAGCACTTTGGGAGGCCGAGACGGGCGGATCACGAGGTCAGGAGATCGAGACCATCCTGGTTAATACGGTGAAACCCCGTCTCTACTAAAAAAAAAGTACAAAAAACTAGCCGGGCAAGGTGGCGGGCGCCTGTAGTCCCAGCTACTTGGGAGGCTGAGGCAGGAGAATGGCGTGAACCCGGGAGGTGGAGCTTGCAGTGAGCTGAGATCTGGCCACTGCACTCCAGCCTGGGCGACAGAGCGAGACTCCGTCTCAAAAAAAAAAAAAAAAAAAAAAAAAAGAAACCCTTGAGAAAAGACCATTAGACATGTAGCCAGAAAGTGTCAACTGACCTTTCATTTCACTGGCATTTAAAAGCTTTAAAGAGGGTTGCGTTATTTTCTCCAAAAGCATTTGTTGAGTTGGTCATTTTGACAGTTAACTGTCAGTTTTTACCTGCATTCCCAGGTGCTAAAACTTAACAAATGTATCTCTTGAACACAGGCATTGATCCTCTACCAATGAATAATTGAGAGAGGTAGGAATGACTGATTTTTCTGGTTGTAGCTTGAAAGATTAATTTGATGAATTGGAAAGTATGGAAACTATTCTGTTACTATTGCAAAGAAAGATTTCTTTTTTCAAAAAAATATTTTATTTATTTATTTTTTTGAGACAGGGTCTGGCTCTGTCACCCAGGCTGGGGTGCAGTGGCACAATCTCGGCTCACTGCAACCTCTGCCTCCTGGGTTCAAGCAATCCTCCCGCCTTAGCCTCCCAAGTAGCTGGGACGACAGGCACATACCACCATGCCCAACTAGTTTTTGTATTTTTAATAGAGGTGGGGTTTTGCCATGTTGGCCAAGCTGGTCTTGAACTCCTGGCTTCAAGTGATCTGCCCGCCTTGGCCTCCTGAAGTGCTGGGATTACAGGCATGTGCCACCATGCCGGGCCAATTTTTCAAAAATACAGAGACAGGGTCTCGCTGTGTTGGCCAAGTTGGTTTTGCACTCCTGGCCTTAAGCAATCCTCCTGCCTCAGCCTCCCAAAGAAGGATTTCTTCAGGGCACTAATGGAAGTGAACAGGAGGTTTGTTCTTGGTGCCCAGTGAACATCTTTATCTAAAAGTCAAGTTCATATCAGAGTCTTGGACAAGGGGAACTGGGTTGAAATTTAATCTTATATTGGTTGTTGGGACATAATAGATCTTTTTTCTTTTTAAAAAAATAATGGAGCTAATGTCAGAGAAAATGCTGCTAACAGCCTGGGTAGGGTGAAGAGCGCAATGGAGTCTCCTTGAGGATTTCCCTGAGTGCCATCCACGTGAATGGAAGAGTTTGACCATAAGTCAGTATACATGTTATTTACACACATAGCCATAGGTTCTACTTATTCTCAGACAGCTTAAGGAAAATACTTTTCTCCTAGGTGTCACATCTTTTTTCTTACCTATCTCCTGTCATTGCCCAGAAACCACTATTCCAGAAGTAGGAGGAGGAGAATAGAACAAGTAGCCAGCAATCCTTGCTGCATCCAAGCTCACAAAAAGTAACCTAGAGAGAACTGATACTCCTGAGGGCAACCGGGTTAAGACCGTGGAGAATTCTAGTAATAAAGATGATTTTGGAGCAGACCCAAGTTCATATGGGGCTTAGAGAGAAATATTCAAAGGAGATGCTACCAGAAGCCTGGGGACATCTGAGGAAAGAACAGGAGTGGACATTTACTTCCAGTCATAAATCCTTGAGTGTTTCTAGGCTGAGGAAAAAGCCTGCCTGCCTGCCTGCCTTCTTTCTTCTCTTCCCACCCTCCCTCCTTTTTTTGACAAGGTCTCGCTTGACATGTCGCCTAGGCTAGAGTGCAGTGGCGCAATCACAGCTCACTGCAAGCCTGGACCTCCTGGGCTCAAGTGATCCTCTCAGCCTCCCAAGTAGCAGCCTCCCAAGTAGCAGGGACTAAAGGCGCACACCACCATACGCAGCTAATTTTTGTATTTTTTGTAGAGACGGAGTTTTGCCATGTTGCCCAGGCTGGTCTCGAGCTCCTGGACTCAAGTGATCTGCCTCCCTCAGCCTCTCAAAGTGCTGGGATTACAGGCGTGAGCCACTGTGCCTGGCCAAAGGCCACTTTTCTAGTAGCAGCACTAACTGGAGCTCAGTTACAACTCAGGTGGGCCTAAAACCCTTTCTGAGAAAGCAGATTTTTAGCTCAGTCAGATTTATCATATGGCTGATAAGTGGGGAGGCAAAATTAAATTCAGTGGGCAACATTATTATATATCTTTTTTTTTTTTTTTTTTTTTTTTTTTGAGACAGTTTCACTCTTGTTGCACAGGCTGGAGTGCAATGGTGTGATCTTGGCTCACCACAATCTCCACCTCCCAGGTTCAAGCGATTCTCTTGCCTCAGCCTCCCAAGTAGCTGGGATTACAGGCATGCGCCACCACGCCTGGCTAATTTTTTTTTTTTTTTTTTAGTGGAGATAGGGTTTCTCCCTGTTGTTCAGGCTGGTCTTGAACTCCCAACCTCAGGTGATCTGCCCGCCTCGGACTCCCAAAGTGCTGGGATTACAGACGTGAGCCACTGTAAATTCTATCTCTAAAAAGTCCCACCAACATAAGTATTCAGTCACAAGTTGTTCTCCCTCCCTGCTACTATAGAATGGAATGAGAAGTTTGTTTGTTGATAGGTATCTTTTTTTTTTTTTTTATACTTTATGTTCTAGGCTACATGTACACAACGTGCAGGTTTGTTACGTATGTATACACGTGCCATGTTGGTATGCTGCACCCATCAACTCATCATTTACATCAGGTATATCTCCTAATGCTATCCCTCCCCACTTCCCCCACCCTACAACAGGCCCCGGTATGTGATGTTCCCCACTCTGTGTTCAGGTGTTTTCATTGTTCAGTTCCCACCTATGAGTGAGAACATGCGGTGTTTGGTTTTTTGTCCTTGTGATAGTTTGTTGAGAATGATGGTTTCCAGCTTCATCCATGTCCCTATAAAGGACATGAACTCATCCTTTTTTATGGCTGCACAGTATTCCATGGTGTATATGTGCCACATGTTCTTAATCCAGTCTATCATTGATGGACATTTGAGTTGGTTCCCAGTCTTTGCTATTGTGAATAGTGCCGCAATGAACATACGTGTGCATGTGTCTTTATAGCAGCATGACTTATAATCCTTTGGGTGTATACCTAGTCATGGGATGGCTGGGTCAAATGGTCTTTCTAGTTCTAGATCCTTGAGGAATCGCCACACTCTTTTCCACAATGGTTGAACTAGTTTACAGTCCCACCAACAGTGTAAAAGTGTTCCTATTTCTCCACATCCTCTCCAGCACCTGTTGTTTCCTGACTTTTTAATGATCACCATTGTAACTGGTGTGAGATGGTATCTCACTGTGGTTTTGATTTGCATTTCTCTGATGGCCAGTGATGATGAGCATTTTTTCATGTGTCTGTGGGCTGCATAAATGTCTTCTTGTTGATGGATATCTTTAAACCCAGCTAAAATCTTAACCCATAAAAAGCCCTCGGCTTGCTCCTTTCTTACCATGCCCTAAGAATGTGACCTCTGATGGTAAGATCAGTAACCTGAAGAACTGAACCGATACTTTGGGCATGTTTTTTAATTTAATTACAATTTTAATCAAATATTTGATTCTTTTTTTTCCTCCCTGGCCAAATTTATTTCAGGAATGTGCTTGTCTGAGACTTCTGATGGCTGAGGTTTCTTAGGTACATCTCGTGACTTGAATGCACAATTGGATGCAATCTGGATAGATTAGGAAATACCTTCTCTAAGGTACTTATTAGGTCTGGTTGACTTTGTAGAGCTGATCCAAGAGCAGGCAAATTGCTTCCAGCAGACACAGTCCAGAAAAACAGCTCTGTAGCAGGCATCTCTTAACACCACAGTATATTCTGGGTAGCTGCTCTGCAGTAATGCAGCCCTGTCGTTCTGGGCAGTGTTGTTATTCCTGCTGCATAATTAGCAACTAGTGAGATCATAGTCTGGGGAGATTCTGGCATTACTGAGGCAAGGGAGGGTTCGTGTCTCATCACACATGGCTCCCGCTCTGACAGCATTTCTGCTGAGCAGATTCGTGTCCTTCTGGAACTTAAATCCAAAGATGGAGGAAAAAGATTTGTACCTAGGAAATGGACTATCTCAGCCTCCTTGGTTGTATTAAAGCGTGTTGAAAACAACACTGCTTGCCATATTGATATAACCAGAATACATTGTTACTTCTCTTGCTATTTGTTTTCCCCTTGCTGATTTCTTTATAGAGGGCAAAGATTGTAAAGCTACGATGTCCTTGCACAGAGGATGGTGACAGACCAGATGAGGCCTATTTTATGGAGCAGTATGAGATTGGGAAAGATTCTGGGTTTTGAAGCCATGCAGATTCTAATCTTGGGTCCATTCTTTGGTACCAAATTTGACCTTTATAGAAGCCTGGTGAGACACTTTACACTTGTGAAGATCTGGGTAAAGGGTTTTCCTGACTGCTAATGTCCTTCAAAATTGAGTGCCTGGAGCAGTATTTCCCAAAGTGTATTCCAAGCATTATTTGCACTCTAAAATACCTTGGAAACAGTAGGTTCCATAATCAGGTTTGTAGAAACACTGCATTCTGTGTTCTCTCAGCCGTCACCATCCTTATTAGTATATTAAAAACCTCTAAGAGGTTCCACTATAGGCAATTTTTAAAACCCTTTTGACACAGCAGTCCTATTTCTATGTAAAAGCTATTAATACCATAAGATAGGCACTTTGGGAAATGCCGGGCTGTATTATCACTAGGAAAAATAAGTGGGTCTAGCCGGGTTCAGTGGCACGTGCCCTGTAGTCCCAGCTACTCTGGAGGCTGAGGCAGGAGAATTGCTCGAGTCTAGGTGTTCAAGACCAGCCTGGGCAACACAGTGAGACACTGTCTCTAAAATAGATAAATAGTTGGGTCTAGTCTTGGTTTAGGCAAAGCCTAATTCTGCCTTTTTTCCTTTTTTTTTTTTTTTTTTCCCCAACCAAACAAGTAGCAGTGATAATTGTGTTTTTGATCTCAAGTTCTTCTCACTGGTCCCTTGGAGAGCTTTCCTATGTGATCAGAAGAGCAGCTACTGTGATTCCTGGGCTAATGAAGCCTAGACCCCAGCTGGATTGGAAGCAAAGGCCTTCCCTCCACTGGGAAAGGTGCCGCTGCTACCCATCTCATTATTCTAAGAGTGACTGAGAATGGAGGGGCTGTTGAGAAACGAAAGTAGGAGAATGTTGGCCAGAGCTAGTAGAGAAAGAACATAATGTTGAGAAAGCAGACATCAGTGCTAGGTGAGGTGCGTGCTTTAGAGAGCTGTGTGTGTAGACTGGGGAGGGGTCTGTCTTGGGACAGGAATGCTGATTCCTTTTTTTCCCTGGGCAGAATCCTAATGTACCTGGCTAGCTGGTGGTGAGCAGGGGCTTTGGGGCCAACTTGTTGGGCTCCCCAAGGAAACCCCTTTGAAACCAATGGATGCATTCACGGGCTCGGGTCTCAAGAGGAAGTTTGATGATGTGGATGTGGGCTCATCAGTTTCCAACTCGGATGATGAGATCTCCAGCAGCGATAGTGCTGACAGCTGCGACAGCCTCAATCCTCCTACCACTGCCAGCTTCACACGTGAGTAAGCTGCTCCCTCCCTGCCTATACCCACATTCCCCAAGCAGTAGAACCCATGGCAGCTTGAAGCAGCTTCTATGTGGCTTGGGGATTTGCCCTTAATCATCATCTTTCCTTGCTCTTTGGAGGACCTCATTTCTCTAATACTGTAGACTGAAGTCTGATTTATTCTAGCTGGTTTTACTTGTGTTGTGGGTTGCTGGTTCCCAGAATGGGTTAAATTAGATTGAAGAAGGAGTCCAGGACTCTACCCTGCCCCCACCAGAGTCCCAGAGAGTTCCAGGAAATTGAGCTGTAGCAGGATATAAATGCTTGCTGCTTGGACAACTGGGGCAAATCCAGATTTCTTAATTCTTTTTTTTCTCGAGACGGAGTCCACTCTTGTTGCCCAGGCTGGAGTGCAGTGGCGCCATCTCAGCTCACTGCAACCTCTGCCTCCTGGGTTCAAGTGATTCTCCTGCTTCAGGCCTCCTGAGTAGCTGGGATTACAGGCGCCTGCCACCACGCCCGGATAATTTTTTTGTGTTTTTAGTAGAGACAAGGTTTCATCATATTGGCCAGGCTGGTCTTGAACTCCTGGACTCAGGTGATCCACCCGCCTCAGCCTCCCAAAGTGCAGGGATTACAGGCGTGAGTCACTGTGGCTGGCCAAGATTTCTTAATTCTTACGGGTCTGTTAGTTCTGGGAAAAAACTTCTGATACTATATGAGGGGTTGCCCATGGGCCAAATCTGGCCCAATGCCTGTTTTGAAACTAAAGTTTTGTTGGAACACAGTCATACCCATTGTCTGTGATTGCTTTCACGCTACAGTGGCAGAGTTGAATTATTGCAACAGAGACCTCATGGCCTGTAGAGCCTAGAATAGTTACTGTGTGGCCCTTGACAGTTCGCTGTCCCCTGCTGCAGATCAGTGCTGTCGAATGGAATTTTCTGTTACGATAGAAATGTTCTGTATCAATGGCCGGGCGCGGTGGCTCAAGCCTGTAATCCCAGCACTTTGGGAGGCCGAGACGGGCGGATCACGAGGTCAGGAGATCGACACCATCCTGGCTAACACGGTGAAACCCCGTCTCTACTAAAAAAAAAAAATACAAAAAACTAGCCGGGCGAGGTGGCGGGCGCCTGTAGTCCCAGCTACTCCGGAGGCTGAGGCAGGAGAATGGCGTGAACCCGGGAGGCGGAGCTTGCAGTGAGCTGAGATCCGGCCACTGCACTCCAGCCTGGGCGACAGAGCGAGACTCCGTCTCAAAAAAAAAAAAAAAAAAAAGAAATGTTCTGTATCTGCATCGTCCAACAGTAGCCAGTTGCCATATGTGGCTATTGAGCACTTGAAATGTGGTTAGTGGCCGGGTACAGTGGCTCATGCCTGTAATCTCAGCACTTTGGGAAGCTGAGGTGGGTGGATCACTTGAACTCAGGGGTTTGAGACCAGCTTGGGCAACATGGCGAAACCCCGTCTCTACAAAAAATACAAAAATTAGCTGGGTGTGGTGGCGTGCACCTCTAGTCCCAGCTACTCTGGAGGCTAAGGTAGGAGGATCACTTGGGCCTGGGAGGTTGAGGCTGCAGTGAGCAGTGATTGTGCCACTGTACTCTAGCCTGGGTGACACAGCAAGACCCTGTCTCAAAGGAAAAAAGAAAATAAAGAAATATGGTTAGTATAATTGAGCTGAATTTTTTTTTTTTTTTTTTTTGAGATGGAGTCTTGCCCTGTCACCCAGGCTGGAGTGCAGTGGCACAATCTTGGCTCACTGCAACCTCCGTCTCCCAGGTTCAAGTGATTCTCCTGCCTCAGCCTCCTGAGGAGCTGGGACTACAGGCACGCCACACCACACCCAGCCAATTTTTGTATTTTTAGTAGAGACAGGGTTTCATCATGTTGGCCAGGATGGTCTTGATCTCTTGACCTCGTTATCCGCCCGCCTCAGCCTCCCAAAGTGCTGGGATTACAGGCATGAGCCACCATGTCCGGCCTGAGCTGAATTTTAAATTTTATTTAATTTTAATTAGCTGAAATTGCCGCATGTGGCTAGTAGCTGCTGTATTGGACAGTCAAGCTATAGATTGTTATATCCAGAAAAGATTACCTAGAGATCCTCTTCCCAGCTGATGTCTAAAAATGGATTTTGTGGTCATCTGTTTAGGTATAGTCAGTCTGGAGGCAGTGGTATGAACCAGCTGAGGTTCAAGGTCCCTTCTGACAGAGCATTTAGGATTTGCAGATATTAGACAGTTCTCTAGGTATAGAGAGCACGTTTAGAGAAGAAGAGTTGAGAGCCTAGATGGATGAGAGAGAGCAAGCTTCCCAAACAGGTCATCCCTGAGTTAATAAAGCATCTCTTGGCCGGGCGCGGTGGCTCACGCCTGTAATCCCAGCACTTTGGGAGGCCGAGGTGGGCGGATCACCTGAGGTCAAGAGTTCAAGACCAGCCTGGTCAACATGGTGAAACCTCGTCACTACTAAAATACAAAAATTAGCTGGGTGTGGTGGCACAAGACTGTAATCCCAGATTCTCAGGAGGCTGAGGCCAGAGAATTGCTTGAACCCCGGGGGTGGAGGCTGCAGTGAGCCAAGACGGCGCCACAGCATTCCAGCCTGGGCAACAGAGCGAGACTCCGTCTCTAAATAAATAGACAAATATGGCCGGGCGCAGTGGCTCACGCCTATAATCCCAGCACTGTGGGAGACCGAGGCGGGCAGATCACGAGGTCAGGAGATGGAGACCATCCTGGCTAACATGGTGAAACTCCGTCTCTACTAAAAATACAAAAAATTAGCCGGGCGTGGTGGTGGGTGCCTGTAGTCCCAGCTACTCGGGAGGCTGAAGCAGAATGGTGTGAACCCGAGAGGTGGAGCTTGCAGTGAGCCGAGATCGCGCCACTGCACTCCAGCGTGGGTGACAGAGCGAGACGCCAAAAATAAATAAATAAATAAATAAGTAAATAGAAAAATAAATAAAACATCTCTCTGTGCTCCCTTCTCAGCCACATCCATCCTGAAGCGGCAGAAGCAGCTGCGGAGGAAGAATGTACGCTTTGACCAGGTGACTGTATACTACTTTGCCCGGCGCCAGGGTTTTACCAGTGTGCCCAGCCAGGGTGGTAGCTCACTGGGCATGGCCCAGCGCCATAACTCTGTACGGAGCTACACACTCTGTGAGTTTGCCCAGGAACAGGAGGTGAACCATCGAGAGATTCTGCGTGAGCACCTGAAGGAAGAGAAACTCCACGCCAAAAAAATGAAGGTGCCTAAGGGGTCTGGGGTCTGCTGCTGTCCATGTAGGAAACCATTTAGGTTCATTGGTTGGTTGGTTGATTGATTTTTTTTTTTTTTTTCCGGGACAGAGTCTTGCTCTGTCGCCCAGGGGGCTGGAGTGCACTGGCATGATCTCAGCTCACTGCAACCTCAGCCTCCCCGGGTTCAAGCGATTTCTTGTGCCTCAGCCTCAAGAGTAGCTGGGATTACAGGTGTGCATCTGTCTAGTTTTTGTATTTTTAGTAGAGACAGGGTTTTGCCATATTGCCCAGGCTGGTCTCGAACTCCTGGTCTCAAGTGATCTACCTGCCTTGGTCTCCCAAAGTGCTGAGACTACAGGTGTGAGCCACTGCACCCGACCGATTTTTTTTTTCTTTTAATTTGACTGTTGTCCTTGGGGTATAGAGATTTCAACTCTTTCTAATGAGAAATCTCAGATTTGGAATCAAATCTTAGTCCGAGACTCCCTTCTTTTTATCTGGCAGGGGAGTCTACCAGATATAGCAAAATGGCTTCCCTAAAATTTCCTCCTCCCAAACCCCCACTGCCTCCCTCAGTTTTATGTATGTATGTATGTATGTGTGTTTTATTTTGAGACAGGGTCTCTCTCTGTCACCCAGGCTGGAGTGCAGTGACTCAATCACAGCTCATTGCAGCTTAAACTCCTGGCCTCAAGCCATCTGCCCATCTCAGCCTCCCAAGTAGCTGGGAACCACAGGCTCATGTCACCATGCCTGGCTAGTATTTTTTTTAATAGTAATGGGATCTCAATTCCTGGGCTCAAGTGGTCCTCCCCTCTCGACCTCCCAAAGTGCCGGGATTACAGGCATGAGCCACCATGCCCAACCTCCCCCAATTTTTTCTTTTTTTAGGTTTAAAATGTGAATACGTCCAGGCATTCAGGTCTGTCACCCTGGAACCCAAGGAAGCACAGTTTTCAATTTCTGGTCAAATGATTGTCCCTTGACTGGATGCACAGAACAGGTTTTGGATATTTCACATTCTCTGAAAGGATCCTGCTGTTTCTATAACCCCCATCACCCTTACGTGATAATCTTGTAGATACAAACAGCATTATCAAATAGTTATTTAGACTTGTATAATACTATGCCTGCCACCTGATACAGCACCAGCTCTTTGAGAGAGAGAGAGGCTGGGAAAAGACCCACCTTAGATGCCTCTTCATAGCCACCCATTTTTTTTTTTTTGGGGGGGGACAGAGTCTCGCTCTTTTGCCCAGGCTGGAGTGCAGTGGTGCCATCTCGGCTCACTACAAGCTCCGCCTCTTCGGTTCATGCCATTCTGCTGCCTCAGCCTCCTGAGTAGCTGGGACTATAGGTGCCCAACACCACGCCCGGCTAATTTTTTTTTTTTTGTATTTTTAATAGAGATGTGGTTTCACCATGTTAGCCAGGATGGTCTCGATCTCCTGACCTCGTGATCTGCCTGCCTCGGCCTCCCAAAGTGCTGGGATTACAGGCGTGAGCCACCGCGCTCGGCCCATAGCCACCCATTTTTTATCTTGGCACTGTTTGGTATTCCCATAGCTATAGTTTCTACTAATTCTCAACAATTTCCCCCAGAGATCCTGATTCCAAATTTGAAGAACACCAGTTTAAGCCTGGCCAGGTTTCTTTGGAGCCCAAAGCATGCTGACCCATATTAAAACAGGTAGCTCCATTATTTCCAGAGTCTTGAGAGAGACACATCAGAATGTGGTGTAGTTGGAGAACTGGTGGTAGAGAATGTAGGCTAACCAGAGCATCTCATTCCTTTCTTTCTCTGAGAGCTCTATGTCTACTTCCCTCAGACTATTCCTAAAGCCCTACACCTGTTTTTCTCACTCTAGAATGACATTCAGGCTTCCCTTTCCTCTGTCTTAGGAATTCCATCACTGACCCTATCACCTTCCAGCTGCTGTAGCAACAGCTGGGCAAATAAACACTGTTCTCATCAGTTGCACTGAAGGCATTCCTTCCTTTCCCTAGAAGAAAACTCCTCTCTCCTGAATCTGGCAGAGGAATGATCTGTCAAAACAGTATACCATCCTGTTGTGTTCTCCACTTACAGGAATTCTAGGGACAAAGCCAGGCAAACCCAAGACAGGTACAGAAGCTCTACTTGTTAGCAGGATGTTTAGTGAGCACCAGCAGTGATGACATCTAATACAGCAGCACTCTGGTTTTTTAAAGATGGGGTCTCATTTTGTTGCCCAGGCTAGTCTCAAACTCCTGGGCTCAAGCGATCCTTCCACCTCAGCCTCCCAAGTAGTTGGGACTACAGGTGTGGGCCACTGCACCAGGTTTATCTTTATATGTCAAGAGGAAGCCCTTGCTTTACCTTAGCTAGTTTATTCTTTGCTGAGATTTTTTTTTTCCTCTCTTGAAACAGGGTCTCACTGTGTCACCCAGGCTGGAGTGCAGAGGCCTGATCATAGCTTAGTGTAACCTCAAACTTCTGGCCTCAAGCAATCCTCCTGCCTTAGCCTCTTAAATAGCTGGGACTACAGCTGCATCACCACCACGCCTGGTTAATTTTTGTAGTTTTTTTTTTTTTCTTTTGAGACAGGGTCTCTCTCTGTTGCCCAGGCTGGAGTGCAGTGGCACAATCTTGGTTAACGGCAACCTCCGTCTCCCAGGTTCAAGCAATTCTTGTGCCTCAGCCTCCCTCAACTGAGATTATAGGCATGTACCACCATGCTGGGCTAATTTTTTTATTTTTAGTAGAGACGAAGTTTTGCCACTTTGGCCAGGCTAGTCTCGAAGTCCTGGCCTCAATTGATCCACCTGCCTCGGCCTCCCAAAGTGCTGGGATTACAGGAGTGAGCCACCGTGTCCGGCCAATTTTTGTAGAGACAGGGTCTTGTTCTGTTGCCCAAGCTGGTCTCAAACTCCTCGCCTTAAGCAATTCTTCCCCCTTAGTCTCTCAGAGGTGCTGGGATAACAGTAATGCGCCACTGCCCCAGGCCTGTTTTTAGCCCTCTATAAGAGAGGCAGTTGGTTTCAAAACATGTACATTCTGCATCTCTCATGTACCATCTCATGTTTGTCTTCCTTTGGGGTTGTTCCAGCAGCTGCTTGGTGTTCTGCAATTTTAACCATAATTTTCCTAATTTTTTTTTTTCATTTTTTGTATTTTGGCCTGTTATCCATATGGAACTCATTATCATGAACAGTATAAATTGGGAATCTTTTTTCCCCCAGAAAATATCCAGTTGTTCCAATACCATTTAATAACTAGAAGACTCTTCTCACTGATGTGAAATGCCACTTCTATCTTGATATTTAAATTCTCACATCTACATGAATGTCCTTGTGTTACATCTCTAATCCCTTGCCTATGAGAGGACAGTAGGAGAGGGGATGCTTAGGGGGAGGTCAACCCTGGAGATGTAGACAGGAGCAATCCTGAGATCCACAGAAAGGCCCTTGTAGTTGGCCTGCCTAGTACTGAAACCACTGACTAGGGAACCTCCAGAAGCCCCACGTTACTTTTCATTTCTCTACCGCCTCCCCCACAAACAAACAAGAAAACCAGGTGTGTAGCTGATTACCCAAGTCTGTTGCATCACGTCTCTCCCAGGAGTTGTCCCTTTACCAGCTCTACTCTGTGGTTGTCTGATGAAATCAACCAAAGGCTCCAGTCATGTGGCTTTCATCCTGCTAGCAGCTTCCAGAGCCCCAGGGATTATGAGGCCTCATTTTCTTTACTTGAATCCTCTAGTGAGTTTTCAGAACTCTTTCAGCCACGGCTTGTCTTCAATCTGTCCTTCCACCGAGACTCCCTTTCTTGGCTCTCTATCCATCCCAGCCCAGAAAACCCAGATTTCTGCCTGTACCTAGTACACTCAGTGTTATTGATACCACCTTTCCTCACATACAGCTTTTCTTTGAAGTCAAATAAAAAAGGATTAGGCCCGGTGCAGTAGGTCACACCTGTAATTGTAGCACTTTGGGAGGCGGAGGCAGGTGGATCAGTTGAGGTCGGGAGTTTGAGACCAGCCTGGCCAACATTGTGAAACCCCGCCTCCACTAAAAATACAAAAATTAGCTGGGCATGGTGGCAGGCACCTGTTATTTCCAGCTACTTGGGAGACTGAGGCAGGAGAATCACTTGAACCCAGGAGGCGGAGATTGCAGTGAGCCGAGATCATGCACTGCACTCCAGCCTGAGCGACAGTGAGACCCTGTCTCAAAAAAAAAAAGTTAGAAAGGAGAAGGAATACATTTTTTCTCAGCTAAGGGCTTTCTTTAATATCTGTTAATATATTTGCTTTTTCTCCTGACAGTAAAATGGAGCTCTTTAAGTGCATGCACAGATAATTGTTCACACTGTGGGGATTTGGGTTCATTGATGAAGACCTGGTAGCCTTTTACTACACTTCGATGTGCCCTTTTTTTCAAGAACGTAGTTTTGCATGCAGTGGGTCCAAGTTGAAGGTGTTTCACATTTTTCTATATATCCAAGCATCATCCAGTCATGTACCTTTTTCTTTCTGTGTTAGAAGGCAAGTGAGCGTAAATTAGGGGACACGTGTCTGGAAATGGAGGGTACGTTTGTGGAAATAGATTTTCGTGTAGGAGGGAAGATGAGACGGGTTTTTGAGAAGGTTGGACCCAGAAAGGTCATGGTGCATAAGATTTCCCATCTTCCTACTCTGGATTTATTCTTTTGACCGGTGCTAGTAAATATAGCAGCCAGTAGTCACATACAGCTATTCATTAAAATTATGTAAATTGGGCTGGCACAGTGGACCCCAGCACTTTGGGAGGCCGAGGTGTGTGGATCACTTGAGGCCAGGAGTTCAAGACTAGCCTGGCCAACACAGTGAAACCCTGTCTCTACTAAAATTAGAAAAAATTAGCCAGGCATGGTAGCTCACACCTGTAATCCCAACTGCTTGGGAGGCAGGAGAATCACTTGAACCCAGGAGGCAGAGGTTGTAGTGAGCCAAGATCACACCACTGCACTCCAGCCTGGATGACAGAATAAGACTCGTCTCAAAAAAATAAATAAATAAAATGACAGTTTTCCAGTTGCCGCATTTCTAGTGCTCAGTAGCCACATGTGCTAGCAGCTGCCATCATTTTGGACAGCACAGATATTCCCATGATTGCAGAAAGTTCAAGGGACAGCGCTGCTCTGGGACGGTCATTGAGGAGGCGCGGGCCGCTCATGTCTGTGAGGCTAACCTTTCCTGTCTCCTGGCAGCTGACCAAGAATGGGACAGTGGAGTCGGTGGAGGCCGATGGCCTGACGCTGGATGATGTGTCAGATGAAGATATTGATGTGGAAAATGTGGAGGTGGACGATTACTTCTTCCTGCAGCCTCTGCCCACCAAACGGCGACGGGCCCTGCTGAGGGCTTCTGGGGTCCACCGCATCGATGCTGAAGAGAAGCAAGAACTTCGAGCCATCCGCCTGTCACGGGAAGAATGTGGTTGTGACTGCCGACTGTATTGTGACCCAGAAGCGTGTGCCTGCAGCCAGGCTGGGATTAAATGCCAGGTCCGTCCAAGTTGGCCTGAGATAGTATATCTACACCAGGGTCAGCGTGGTGAGGTGTGGGTGCCACTGAACATGGGAGGCCCATTCAGGGGTGCTTTCCCTATGGCTGTGAACACTCTCCAATTCCACAACCCTCCTCCATCAACAGAGTAAGCAAAGAGCACACGGCCAGGCACGGTGGCTCACACCTCTAATCCTAGCTACTTGGGAGGCTGAGGTAGGAGGATCTCTTGAGTCCAGGAGGTTGAGGCTGCAGTGAGCTGAGTTCACACCAGTGCACTCCATCCTGGGTTGCAGAGTGATTCCCTGTCTCTTTAAAAAAAAAAAAAATTTTAGTAACATTTAGTAACTGTTTCCTAAATACTGATTCCTTGAGATAAAAGGAAGCAGGGCTGGGTGCTGTGGCTCACATCTGTAATCCCCAGCACTTTGGGAGGTTGAGGCAGGCAGGCAGATTGCCTCCCAGGAATTTGAGACCAACCTGGGCAACATGACTAAACCCCATCTCTACAAAAAATACAAAAATTAGCTGGGCATGGTAGCATCAGCCTGTAGTCCCAGGTACTCAGGAGGCTGAGATGGGAGGAGGATCACTTGAGCCTGGAAGGCATAGGTTGCAGTAAGCTATGAATGTGCCACTGCACTCCAGCCTGGGCGACAGAGCAAGACCCTGTCTCAAAAAGTTAGAGAATGATGCGGGCCTATAGATTCTATCTGCAAACACTTATTCTTAGTACCTTTATTCCAATTTTGAAAAATCAGAATAGTATTCAGAGCTTTATAATTCAGGATCAGACATGGCCTAGCAGAGCTTAAAACCATAGTCACATGAAAGAGAAAGTATCATGTCTTTTTGGCTGCCCTTTTTTTTTTTTTAATGAGACGGAGTCTCGTTCCATCGCCCAGGCTGGAGTGCAGTGGCGTAATCTTGGCCCACTGCAACCTCCACCTCCCGGGTTCAAGTGATTCTCCCGCCTCAGCCTCCCAAGTAGCTGGGATTACAGGTGTGCACCACCATGCCCGGCTAATTGTTGTAATTTTTTTTTTTTTTTTTTGAGATGGAGTCTTGTTCTATCGCCAGGCTGGAGTGCAGTGGCGTGATCTCGGCTCGCTGCCACCTCTGCCTCCCGGGTTCAAGCAATTCTCCTGCCTCAGCCTCCCGAGTAGCTGGGACTACAGGCTTGCACCACCATACCCAGCTAATTTTTATATTTTTAGTAGAGACAGGATTTCACCATGTTGGCCAGGATGGTCTCAATCTCTTGACCTCGTGATCTGACTGCCTCGGCCTCCCAAAGTGCTGGGATTACAGGCACGAGCCACCATGCCCAGCCAACTTTTGTATTTTTAGTAGAGACAGGGTTTCATTGTGTTGGCCAGGCTGGTCTTGAACTCCTGACCTCAGGTGATCTGCCTGCCTCAGCCTCCCGAAGTACTGGGATTACAGGCATGAGCCACCGTGCCTGGCCCCTTGTTGGCCCTCTAATGGGGGACAGTTTAAGACACATTTCAGTTGAAAACGACAATACCATCCCAAAGAATGAAATTTATCTGGAACTTAATTACTGAGGGTGTAGATGTTGAGTCCTTGCGATTGGATTTCTCCTAACCCTTTATTTTTAGCTGGGTAACAAATACCTGTGGTAGATCTGGCCAGATACTGCTTTTCAGACCAAAGTCCCATAATGAGTTATTCTGTTACACACACACCTGATAACAGTCCTAAGAATTGATGCAGCTGGGCCTGGCATGGTGGCTCACACCTGTAACTAGCAGTTTGGGAGGCTGGGGTGGAAGGACTGCTTGAGCCCAGGAGTTTGAGACCAGGCTGGGCAACATAGCGAGACCCTATTTCTTTTTTTTTTTTCTTTTTTTTGAGACAGAGTCTCACTCTGTCGCCCAGGCTGGAGTGCAGTGGCGCAATCTCGGCTCACTGCAAGCTCTGCCTCCCAGGTTCACGCCATTCTCCTGCCTCAGCCTCCCGAGTAGCTGGGACTACAGGCGCCTGCCACCACGCCCGGCTAATTTCTTTTTGTAGTTTAGTAGAGACGGAGTTTCACCGTGTTAGCCAGGATGGTCTCGATCTCCTGACCTCGTGATCCGCCCGCCTCTGCCTCCCAAAGTGCTGAGATTACAGGTGTGAGCCACTGCACCCGGCCGGGAGACCCTATTTCTACAAAAAATTTTACAATTAGGGCCTGGCGGCCAGGCGTGGCGGCTCAAGTCTGTAATCCCAGCACTTTGGGAGGCCGAGACGGGTAGATCACGAGGTCAGGAGATCGAGACCATACTGGCTAACATGGTGAAACCCCGTCTTTACTAAAAAATATGAAAATAAAACTAGCCGGGCGTGGTGGCGGGCGCCTGTAGTCCCAGCTACTTGGGAGGCTGAGGCAGGAGAATAGCGTGAACCCGGGAAGTGGAGCTTGCAGTGAGCCAAGATCGCGCCACTGCACTCCAGCCTGGGCGACAGAGCGAGACTCCGTCTCAAAAACAAACAAACAAAAAAACAATTAGGGCCTGGCATGGTGGCTCATGCCAGTAATCCCAGCACTTTGGGAGGCTGAGGCGGGTGGATCATGAGGTCAGGAGTTTGAGACCAGCCTGGCCAACATGGTGAACCCGTCTCTACCAAAAAAATACAAAAATTAGCTGGGAGTGATAGTGGGTGCCTGTAATCCCAGCTACTCGGGAGGCTGAGGCAGAAGAATTGCTTGAACCGAGAAGGCAGAGGTTGCAGTGAGCCAAGATCATGCTACTGCACTGCAGCTTGGGTGACAAGAGTTAGACTCCGTCTCAAAAAAAAAAAAAAAGCCTTTTAAATTAGCTAGATGTAGTGCTTTGTGCCTGTAGTTCCAGCTACTCAGGAGGCTGAGGGGGAGGGTTGCTTGAGCCCAGGATCGCTGCAGGCTGCAGTGAGCCATGATGGCACCACTGCACTCCAGCCTGGATGACAGAGCAAGACCCTATCTCCAAAGGAAAAAAAAGTGGTATAACTGGACTGGAGATTTCTGTAAGTCAGTATCATAGAAAGACATTGTGATTTGTACATGCTTACTTGCTTACTTGTGGTTTTAATTTTTCCTTTTATTTTTGGTTTATGTGTTTTTCCCGTTTGGAATACGAAAGTGATAAGGAGGTAGAAAGCATCTCCTTTCCAGATATCCCTGGTCTGTAAGTTAATTATCTTGGCAACTGCTTCAGAACTAAACTAGTCAACCCTCAGGGAAAATAAAGCAGGTAGCTAAAAAATTGGCCACTGTGTGAACCTGCGTTCTAGCACCTTAGCAAACTAAGGCACATTTGCTTAGTTTCCCCAGAATGTATTTTTTTGAAGTAGCAAGATCTTCCATTCACTGCCCCATGCCTGTCATTGCAGAAGGCCATAGGCTTGGGTCCAGCCTTTTGTTGTCTCAGTGAACCAGGTTAAGTTCTGAAAAAGTTTCTGAGGCTTGTAAATTTCCTCTGTGAAAACTATCAGCATTCAGAGAAGTATCTGTGGACTCTAACTGGAAGGACCCTGTGATGTGATTTTTGTCTACTTTTTATTTGGAAGAGGAAACAAAGCCCTAGAGAGATAAATGATTCTCTTGAGGTCACACCACTAATTAATGGCTGAGCTGGGATTGAAATGCAAGTGGTCTGATAACTACCATCTAGTGTTCTCTTAGCTCACACTGCATGCTATGCTTTGAATTGGTTGCTTTTCTTCTTATAAGGAGACCTCAAATCCCAACTGCCTGTTTGCCAACTGATGTCTCCTATCTCCATTGTTAGGAGTGTAGGTCTCATCTGCCCCAACCTTCTTGTCCCCGCTCAGGTGGATCGCATGTCCTTTCCATGTGGCTGCTCCCGGGATGGCTGTGGGAACATGGCAGGGCGCATTGAATTTAATCCAATCCGGGTCCGGACTCATTACCTCCACACCATTATGAAGCTGGAGCTGGAGAGCAAGCGGCAGGTGAGCCGCCCAGCAGCCCCAGATGAGGAGCCCTCCCCCACTGCCAGTTGCAGCCTGACAGGAGCACAGGGCTCTGAGACCCAGGACTTCCAGGAGTTCATTGCTGAGAATGAGACAGCAGTGATGCACCTGCAGAGTGCAGAGGAACTGGAGCGGCTCAAGGCAGAAGAAGATTCCAGCGGCTCTAGTGCCAGCCTGGACTCGAGCATTGAGAGCCTGGGTGTGTGCATCCTGGAGGAACCCCTGGCTGTCCCCGAAGAGCTGTGCCCAGGCCTTACAGCCCCCATTCTCATCCAGGCTCAGCTGCCCCCAGGCTCCTCTGTCCTGTGTTTTACCGAGAACTCAGACCACCCAACTGCCTCAGCGGTGAACAGCCCATCCTACTTGAACAGTGGGCCCCTGGTCTATTATCAAGTGGAGCAGAGGCCAGTCTTGGGAGTGAAAGGAGAGCCTGGTACAGAAGAAGGCTCAGCCTCTTTCCCAAAGGAGAAGGATCTGAATGTCTTCTCTCTCCCTGTTACCTCACTGGTGGCTTGTAGCTCCACAGACCCAACTGCCCTCTGTAAATCAGAGGTGGGGAAAACACCCACCCTAGAAGCGCTACTGCCCGAAGATTGTAACCCTGAGGAGCCTGAAAATGAAGACTTCCGCCCTTCCTGGTCCCCCTCAAGCCTCCCCTTCCGCACGGACAATGAAGAGGGCTGTGGGGTGGCGAAGCCCTCCCAGCAGAATGAGGATCGGCCCCCCGAAGATTCTTCCTTAGAACTCCCTCTGGCAGTGTGACGGGGGCTAGAGGCCTGCCTCTTACCCATTCTCTATTTATTCCCTTATTTTATCTAACACCATTTCAAAACAAAACTGTAGAAGCAGCTGCTGCTCCCATGTTATTTTATTGGGGTCTTTGGGGAATGGGTGGGAAAGGATTGTTTGAGTATTTTTAAAAGGGAAACAGTACCAAGGAGACCAGCCCCAGCTTGATCTGGGGATCCTGGGGCAGAGAAAGCTGCATAGTGCTGAACACTGAGCTTTCTGGGCCACTGGAACAAAGAACTAGGATCTCACAGGAGAAGCTGGGTAACTCAAGCAGCTAGTCTTTCTGTAGGGACCAGAACACAAGAATTTGAAGAACACGGCAAAGCTCCTTCTCTCCCAAGCCCCAGGCAAAGTACAAGCTCATTTTTCTCGGTGGCTATTCTGATACCCCATTTTGGTGTGTCATAATACTTCAGACTAGAAAGTCACCTGGTCGAGTCTCGGGAGGAGGGAGTGGAAGGGTCTCTGCTTCTGTACAAAATCTCCAGGATTTACAAAAATTTAACCTGCCTTCCTTCAATCCCCTATTTGGTAAATAGGTTAATATTTGACATGTTTGGTGTTCTCCGACCTGTTCCCCACACTGGGGATTCCTGGTCTGTAACTTGAATTGTTTCTTCCACATGTTCTTAAGTACTAGAGTTAAACTTGTCTATGTCTTTTTTTCCCTCCATCCTTTTTCCTTTGGAGAAAAAGAGCTGGATTGGCTGGGGATGTGCTATAAAGAGCCTGAGCCTTCTGTACCTATCTGATACTAGCACTGTCAGGCAGCTTTCGGCTGGGGCTCACCCATCCCACAGGAGGCCTATGTGGAGCATTAACTGGCCAAAGGAGGCAGCGGGAACAGACTGCTTGCTATTTGGAAAGATGACATATTTGTGCTGTGCTTGTTTTTTCACCCAGGTTTTTCCCTCTTTGTGAGATCTGAGCTTTAGTGGAATGTAGGATGTGGCAATCTTAAGGTCACCAACCAGTTTTTGTTCTTTTTTTTCCTGTATCTACCCTCATGGTTGTTTTCAACATACCAGGTTAGAGAGTTCTTACACTGTTCTAGTTCAAGTCCAAGAATCGCAAATGTTTATTGGACCCCTCCATCTTGATGATGTATAGAAATTGGAAGCCACGCCAGTTCTTAAATGCCACATGCAATTCCCAGATTCCAAAGGATTCAAGTTCTAATTATAACCTTTGAAGCATATAGAATGGAACTCATTCAGTTTGATTCAGTTCTTACCTCTGAATCAAATACATCAGGGGGAATACGGTTCCTGTTCATCCTATGTTCTAAGATCTCCATTGAACAGCACTGATTTCCTTTTATTAGCAATCTTTGCCTCTGTTCTAAAATGGAGGCAGTAGGGAGCAAAACTATTCTTCTCAAGCATCCTTTACACCATACATTACTTCTGGTATGGTTTATTAACCACACACACAAAAGAGTGAAAAACTGTGTTGGGGGGAGACACTACTTATCTTCCTCATAAAGCCTTTTCTGTGGGATATTAAGGCCCTGGTGTCTTACAGAAACCATGTATGTCGCAGAAGCATTTCACCCCTGAAGTCTCTAAACTCTGAGCCTGAAAGGATTTGTATTTAATACACATACATTGTTTAGTTCATTCTGCCTCTCCTATTTGTTCCAGTGTTTGCTTGGTTTTAGTTTGGAGGGGAACTTAAGTACATAAATCCTTCTCTCTCCCCATCCCCTAGCCTCATGAGTTGAGAGTCTTAAGTACCTGAGATCTCCAAGCTATCCAGAACTGAACTAGACTCCCCTACCTTAGACTGGTACCTGCAAACACAGGACTGAAGCTTAATTGGGAATTTGGCTTTATGGAGAAAAGAATCTTTTTCAAAGTTTGTGTCAGAAGGGGAGGGTGAGGTCTGCACATTGCCTCTGCAGGAAGGCTCCAGCTTAATCTAGGAAGTAGATTCCAGCTGCACGATGAGGAACACGTTAGCTTTTGGGATCAAACCAGGAATATGAATCTGTAATTATTAAGCTCATTGCCAACCCATAGGATAATTGATGTTTCTGAAAACCTGTCGTTTCTTAATCTAAGTCTATCCCCTTCATTAACTCTACAGTTGTGATTCACACTGATCCCAAACTTTTGAGTGCTAAATATTAACATTTAGCATTAACTGTCTTGTCAAGCAAAAGGCCTTCTCTACAACCTAGTCCATCTCACTTCTGGTGCTCTCTGAGTTGGACGGAATTCTAGCTCATGGTTGCTAGGAAAGCTAGGCCTCTGATCACAGAAGCAGGCAGCTTCAGCCCCAGTCTAGGCCTAGATAAATGAGTCTTCTCACCACAACTTTACTATTTTCCAATTTCCTTTCTCACATACTGTACACAGGTAGTATTTTCAATGTGAATCCAAAGCTTGTCTGGTTCTCTGAAAATAATTTTCTCCCCTTTAGGTTCTTTACATTGTGATAATGCTGTATTTAAAGAGAATATTTAAATGTAATATTAAAGAAATATTCAAAAGAATGGTGTGTTACTCTTTGTCTCGGCAGGCCACAATTCAGTTACTTGTTAGAAAAAGGATGCTTCTCCAGCTTCGTTATAAAACTAATTAGGTCAGTTAGGAATTAATGTTAACAATAGAAACATTTTATGATGGAAAAATAGAATATTCTCTTTGGACTACCAAGAGCTGGATTGGTCATATGCCCTTGTGTACCTGTTCAGCTGAAGCAGGCCTTGCTTGTGTCTGTTGGAGCTTTGCCCTGTCCCTACTCTGGGCTCCCATTTTCTCATTCCATTAACTATATGAAATTCTCTTTTCCTTGTTACCATCTTAAAGTGTCCAGCAAGGAGATCAACTTCAAATCAGTTTCGGCAAAACTTCCATCCCATCAGAAGGTTCTATTCCAACCAATTAAATCCCCACTTGTTAGGTTACGTCAGTCTTGTAAAAGGAGACTCAGCAAAATGATTAGAGTATGCATGAGTCATTTCCATCAACAGGTTTCAAGCAGTCTTTACTTGGGTTTAAAAACAGTGCTTCATGCATTTACAGTACGTTATTACAGAACTATAAGTCACTGATGCACACACAAAAGCTAAACCCAACTTACTAACTCGATGCAGACCTCTCCTGATCTCCCCAGGCTGGGCAATAATTAGTACCTTACAGGTGTGATCCATGGCCCAAAGAAGGCAGCCACTGTCAGTTACAGTTGGATTGCTGCATCACAGTGGAGGCAGCAAAGCGCTGAAGATCCACAGGGGGTGTAATACAGCCCGGAAAAGACAATGGAGAGTGAAGGCTAGAAACATTGAGGAAGGGGTCAAGAACCACTTGTACTTCCTGTTATCTTTTCCAATAGAATATTCCTGCAAGTTACCCATCAAAAAAAAGTCAAGGTGTTCAAAGGGTTTGAAAAACAAGTGGTTAGCCCATGCCAGTGAGGGGGACAAAGAACAACTGGATTTTTGGTCATATCAGAAAGGACGGAGGGAAACACTGAAGTACATGCATGGACACGAGTGCTCTGGCCAAAGAAATGCTGTTCTCGCCAGCCACAAATTCTCTACCAGCAACAACAAAAACCCACAGATGTAAGTAACATGGAAGTGGATCAGTCCTTAGCCAAATAAGGATTCCCACTTGGGGCAAAAGCGGACTTCCCAGGACATGAACTGAACACATCACAGTAAAAGCCCAGTAAAGGCTGCTGCCAGTTCCAGCTATTAGTAATTATGAGGGGGACGGGATGACACCTCACATGGGCCACCCCTGACAAGAGGGTGTGTTTCAGTTCTAGCTGTGAAGGGAATGTCTGCAGTTCCCACGTGTGCCATGCTGTGAAGCCCATGGCCCCTGCTCCTCTCTCTCCCTCCCACACACTTAACAGTGCACACAGACTTCGCTGGCAAGTGCTGTTTGTTCCTGCACTGCGGTACTATGCGACTGCAGGACAACGCCATCCGCTCCATGGTTCACTCAGCGCCTTGTCCCAAGGTAGTTGGTGGAGAGCAGGACCACGTTGTGCAGCAAGAGAGACAGCTCAGTTTCTGAAAACACCACAGTGTTAGTGGTTTGGCTTGGGAACACTCTGCCTTATAACTGCCTTGTTATATATGGCTTGAGCCTGGAGGCAGGAAGCCAAGTACAGGGAGGGGTGGAATGAAGAAGCTATTTTTCTCAAAGTTCCCCTTCTTTGTTTCAGCCCCTGCATGCATGCCTTCCTTTCCTTCTACTATATATTCATATCAACTCATCCTCTATTTCTCATGTGACTGCAGTAGAAACTTCAGAGATGGTAATGGTACTAAACACCAGTCACCTTGGGATTGTTCTAGTAGAAGTTGCTGCTCTACGGACATTTCTCAGCTTCAAGATTAGGAGGCCTACCCTAACATCCAAAGGCCCAGACCACATCAAGACCCACCCTAAACAAGGAGCCAATAAGCCTAATACATACCCTCATATGCTTTGTGTTTGGTCAGTAGACTGTTTTTGTTTTGAGTTTGAATGCCTTTAGACCAGTACTTCTCAACAGGGACAGTCCTGCCTCTCTCCTCCCCACCCCCAGGACATGTGGCAATGTCTGGAGACATTTTTGGTTGTGACAGCTGCGGGTGAAGGGGTGCTACTGGCATCTAGTGGAGAGAGGCTAGAGATACTGCTATAATAAATACCTATAAGAACAGGATATGCCGGGCATGGTGGCTCACACCAGTAATCCCAACACTTTGGGAGGCCGAGGCCAGCGGATCACCTGAGGTCAGGAGTTTGAGACCAGCCTGACCAACATGGAGAAACCCAGTCTCTACTAAAAAAAAAAAAAAATACGAGGCTGGGCGCAGTGGCTCAAGCCTGTAATCCCAGCACTTTGGGAGGCCGAGACGGGCGGATCACGAGGTCAGGAGATCGAGACCAACCTGGCTAACACGGTGAAACCCCGTCTCTACTAAAAAATACAAAAAACTAGCTGGGCGAAGTGGCGGGTGCCTGTAGTCCCAGCTACTCGGGAGGCTGAGGCAGGAGAATGGCGTGAACCCGAGAGGAGGAGCTTGCAGTGAGCTGAGATCCGGCCACTGCACTCCAGCCTGGGTGACAGAGCAAGACTCCGTCTCAAAAAAAAAAAAAAAAAAAAAAACGAAATTAGTCGGGCGTGGTGGTACATGCCTGTAATCCCAGCTACTCGGGAGGCTGAGACGGGAGAATCAATTGAACCCAGGAGGCGGAGGTTACAGTGAGCTGAGATTGCACCATTGCACTCCAGCCTGGGCAACAAGAGTAAAACTCTGTCTCAAAAAAAAAAAAAAAAAAAAAAGCACAGGATATCCCCCCACAAGAAAGTGCCAAGGTTGGAAAATTGATTCACACTAGCATGCATTCACTCTTATGTTCCCACATCCCCACTACTCCCTCTTCTCTTATGGCCTACTTCATTACCTGCCGGGCATGCAGCAGGCATGTGAGTTTGTGCCCTTTCAATCAGTATGTCTCACAGTACTCCATAATTAACTCCAAAATGACCTCAGAATTATAAAAGTGGCTTAGATTTTACTGGTATAACCACAGAAATGTGTTTTACCTTTCAGGCTGCAGGAAATCTGCAGCCATTCTCCCAGCCAAGTTCGACACCTATCTTCACCAATATGTGTAGAATTCAGGCCACGGAGATAACAAGCCTATACCGCTCAGAAGAGAAATGGTCTTTAATAATCAGAGTGATTATGCCAAGGAAATGGAAATCCACAAACAATCCTAAATCTCCTTTAAATAAGTTACAATCTCCCTGGGCACGGTGGCTCACGCCTGTAATCCCAGCACTTTGGGAGGCCGAGGTAGGCAGATCACAAGGTCAGGAGTTTGAGACCAGCCTGGCCAATATGGTGAAACCCCGTCTCCACTAAAAAATACAAAAATTAGCCAGGCGTGGTGGTGCACACCTGTAGTCCCAGCTACACGGGAGGCTGAGGCAGAAGAATCACTGCAACCTGGGAGGCGGAGGCTGCAGCAAGCCAAGATCATGCCACTGCACTCCAGCCTGGGCAACAGAGCGAGACTCTGTCTCAAAAAAAAAAAAAAGTTACAATCTTATTCCCACAAGAAGCCTTTCCTCATGGCAATTTGAAAACTAGTGATGGACAAGATGACAAGCAAAGAGTCCTATATAATCTAAAATAGTAAGTCTAAACTGCAGTATCCTTGCTTTCTGAAGTGCTAGAAGAAATACAAACCAAAATTACTGTGGGCAATTCCTTCCCCCTAGCTAAGTTTATTGAGAAAAAAGACACAGAAATGAGATGAGAAGCTGGGTGCAGTGCCTCATGCCTGTAATCCCAACACTTTGAATGGCTAAGGCAGGAAGATCACTTGAGCCCAGGAGTTCAAGACCAGCCTGGGCAACACAGTGAGACACTGTCTCTACAAAAATAAAAAATAATTTTATTTGTTTTTTTGGGTTTTTTTTGAGACAGAGTCTCACTCTGTCACCCAGTGCGATCTTGGCTCACTGCAATCCACCTCCTGGGTTCAAGCAATTCTCATGTCTCAGCCTCCCAAGTAGCTGGGATTACAGGCATGTGCCACCACTCCTGGCTAATTAAAAAATAATTTTTAAAAAGGTCGGGCACAGTGGTTCACGGTTGTATTCCCAGCACTTTGGGAGGCCAAGATGGGAGGACTGCTTGAGGCTAGGAGTTCAAGACCAGCTTGGTCAACATAGCGAGACCCCATCTCTACTAAAAAATAAACAAACAGGTTGGGTGCAGTAGCTCATATCTGTAGTCTCAGCACTTTGGGTGGATGGATCACTTGAGGCCAGGGGTTTAAGACCAGTCTGGCAAACATGGTGAAACCATCTCTACTAAAAATACAAAAAAATAGCTGGGCGTGGTGGCGCACACCACACCTGTAATCCAGCTACTTGGGAGGCTGAAGTGGGAGAATCACTGGAACCGGGAGGCAGAGGTTGCAGTGAGCCAAGACTGTGCCACTGTACTCTATCTAGCCTGGGCAACAGAATGAGACCCTGTCTCAAAATAAATAAATAAAAATCATAAATAGATAAATGAAGTGAGAGAATAAACAAGTTGGGTTCCATGTAACAAACAAGACAAGGAGCCCCTGTAAATCTCTGGCCTGCTGTAGGCTGGAAAGCACACCAAGGGTTGAGGGTTGATGTTGCAATCAAGCTCTTACCGATTTTACTTCCTGAGCAGTCAGCTGGCCAATCCCCAGCTTTGCCAAAGCCTTGTCCAGTTGGTGAATCACAGTTGTACGAGTCTTCAAACGATGTCTCAACAAGGGAGGAGGCAGGTAAGATGTGAGAAGCATGGCCCGGCTCAAGGCTTTCTGTAACACAACCACATAGGAGGGGAAAGGCAAATAGTATGAGCTCAAGCAAACATCTGAAACATGGTGATGCTACGGAAAAGAGAAGCCCTCAAAGTGCTCACCACGTGCAAAGCCTGGAGTTGGTTCACGCCCAGAGGATGGTTAGAGAAACACTCTCTCAAAGCCAAGATAT